TTCTTCTACCACCTGCACCATGACTTCATGTCAACAATTAGGAAGCTTTCTGAAGCATGGGCTACTTCTGGTCATGGGGCAGGAACAACAGAAGCTGTGAAACCCTGACCTCCAAACCTGGCTCAAACATCAACTTGCTCTGGAGCTTATGCAAGATATGTATACATCCTCCCACTGGGAAAGTATTGATAATTACAGGCACTCTGACTGCATCCTGATTTTATTGAGGCTTAGTTAATTATGCAGGCATTGCCCCTAAAATATGAGACAAATTGAGAGAGAGATCCAAAAGCGCATGGAGGTTCCCCTGTCCAGATGGGACACCCACAAAATCCTCTCTGAACGCTTTGTGCTCCTGAGAGTCTGTAATTAATGCCAGTTTTTGCCTAAAGATATGCTCAAAGGTCCCACCATCTTGGTTAAATTACTGATGTCAGCATCTCATATACAGGCAATTGCATTTGGGATTCACAAAGAAGGCGGAGCAGCAACACAGTTCCTTAAGGGAGGCTCTGAGCAAACCTAAGGCAGACAGACAACACCGCATTCATTACAAATCACAGCACACCGGCCATTTACATCAACAGCAAAGCCAGAGGAAGAGTGCCTTTACATTACAGCATACAGCAGGAGGTTTTGCTTATCTGAGCTTCCAAATTGTTACCTCTACACGAGCAGTTAGCATTAATCAGATGATAGAGTGCAGCTAGACAGGTGGGAGAAAAAGGCTGGGTGGGTGCAAGGGGAGGTTGTGAGATGGAGGAAATGGACGGGGAATGAGGTGAAAATTTCATTGCAGTGGTGTGTGGTAGAAAGGCAGCGGCGACACTATTTGAAAAGTAGTGGGAGGTTTTGGGGTACAAGAGGAAGATGGCTGAGAAGTGAATGGAGGCACACTGGAGGTATTCACATGTTCACTGCAATTGCTGTGAGTGCCCAAGCAAGTCATTGCTAATGGTACTCATGGCCACTGATGCTCCTGCCAACTGCATCTAGACAAAATACATTGGGAAAGAACAAGCCCAGTGATTACAGCAGTCAGCAGAAACTAGGAGACTGACTGCACTTCCTCCTCAGCCCGAGGGAATGCAAACTCATAGCTTTCGGCACCAAGGTAAGTGCCTGAAACACGTGGCTACGTCCTAATGAAACTGGGCTGCCATGCAAAGGAGATGGCTAGACTGATGGGGCTGGGAGCAGGCCTGTTCCTGGCGAGGATACCTAGAATCCTCACTCCAAGCAATTTGCGGGTCTATGAACTTCGGCTGGCAAGACAGCGATTCCAAACGCATAAACACCACCGAGGGCTGGAAACAGAAGGAGGAACTTCCCCACCCCAGTGAGCTCCCTTCTCTCTTCCTCATAGACAAGGCCCTGCATCTTCTTTCTCCACTGTGTCTCACACAGCTGCACAGCCTCTCCTAGTCCATTTCAGAAATTGGAAAAATACATTTTATTTTTACATTGTTCGCAGTGAGAAATTAGAGCTATTCACTGGACTGCACTGAAGCACTCCTTTTCAGCTATATATATTATAGGAGGGATTCTTGATTCCACAGTAATCCCAGGAGAAAAATTAACTAGATGAACACAGAATAGCACTAGTTCTGCTCTGGCCTCACGATAATTGTTCTTCAATTCAACAAATTAAGTTAAAGATAAGCATTTGCTTCACATGCAAGACTGTCATTCCCGCTTCATTGGTCATATATGGAGAGGGATTAGCCACATCAGGCATATGCTTTCATACTGTGGTGTAAAGAATACACATGAGAAAAATCACGTTTAGCTCCAATACACTGAGAAAACTCTTTATATTCAAGAGCAGAGAGAAAAAAAAGTTTTGATGATGGTTCTTCATCAGATGCACCCAGTGGACGTGTGTACTCTGAAGAGCCTGTACCGAGTCTGACTTGTGCTAAAACTGCGCAGTACTGGGAGAGCGGTGCTCAAAGAAAATGTCTGTTTCTGTAATCCCCATCACAGATAGCTGTGCCCGTACCCTTACTTTCATTTCTTATTTGTTCCATTCACTACTGTTTATAACCTGAAAGACATATAAATTTATTTCTCTTCAAAGCACATTTATTTGCCCTACAAATGGACCAAAAATATGCAAAGACTACTTTGATTTTTATTATCTCACCTACATAAACATATCGATTTCCTCAACCCTACCAGGACAAAATAATATTTTCTTTTTATTGCATTCCAGAGGAAGTTGTGCCTTAACTTGGGTCTTATTTAACTGCTATTTATCTACATCTCTTGCTTCAAACTCTCTGTCGGGAACGAAGCTACCACCTCTGTTTCTCTGGCACCCTTAATACTCAGTCTGTAAAGCCCAGTTCTGCTGACTCAAAGATCAACATTGTCATTGCAGACGAGAAAAAAAGCTTCCATATATTAAAAATAAGGTTGCTTCATGGACGTACCATCTTTTTGAAGAAAGTATAGATATGAATCAAAAGAGAGGTGTCAAGAATCATCTGTTATTCCAAAAAAGTACAATCTTAATGTTTATTTTAAATCTCTTGTCAGAAAGGAAAGCATTAATATGAAATGCTTTAAACAGCCTTTGATACTTACAGAACTCTTAAAATGACAATGAGTCAAAGATCAACAGGCCTTTAAGAATGAAAACAACTGGAAATGCTTCAGAAGCAGAGCCACTAAAGTATTTTCATTGATTAAATGCCCACTGGTATTACTATCGAACACCAACACATATAGTTTCACATTTCCTGATCTGGTAACTTCATAGCTTAAAAAGAGGAAGGTAACACCTGTAAACTATATTACCCGAAACTTAGCCTCACTCAGTCAATGATAATTTTGCCATCAAATGAATGTAGGTGTTCATTTTAAATACAGGAACTTAAACGAAAAACTTTTTTTCTAAAAAAAGGTTGACTTCATGTAAAAATGAAATCTATCACTTAAAACCCAACAACTCCATCCTTATTTCAGCTGTTGTACTATTTTAATTCTTTATGTTCCTGTTGCTAAACTGAAATGGAAATGACCTAAAGGAGATAACAGAAATGGAATAATTCTAAGTCAGGTTTCAAAATTAATATTTTTTGCCCATCTGCCCTTTAACACGTTGTCCATTCCAGGTCCCAATCTCCCTTCGCCTCCCAGCCACTAGCAAGATAATACAGATGGTTACTGCAAAGCTGCTAAGGCGTACATCTGAATGCGTATTTATCCACTTGGCAAGATCCTGCTACAGCTGTAAGTCGATGCAAATCTGCATTACAATGTAGCTTCAGTCTCTTGCCTGTGTGAGAAAGCAGCCATGATATTAATAGTGCTGCTTAAGACAATGCCAGGCAAATATGACGTAAATGAATGCAGTTGAGCTAGCTATCGCAGCACTGTTAATTTACACCTCTGAAAACAAACACTCATTTGGGCACGTGAAACAAGTGTGTATCTACACCTACATCAAAACTAATTTTCATTTGTTTGTTTTTGGAAGCAGAAACTGATAACGCAAGATAACTCCACCAGATGTCAAGGTGAAAGAATACTATGTAGGTGAGTATTTGATACAATCACCAGAAAAGAAAACCAAACTGACGGTCTTTATTCCATCGTAAGCACAGTTTTAATAAATACAGGTGGCACTGCCAGTCGGTGACAGTTGCTTTTGTTCTGGGTATGTCTTTGTTCGGGCAGCTGGGAGGAAGAGGAGTTTTCATGTATAATGAAAGAAATGTACTTAATAGGCAACACCTGAAAATCCTTCAAGAGAATAAACTATAGCAATAGAAAATGTAAGTTTAGAAAGCATTTCCTGAAAAAAAAAGTAGCACTGGAATCTTCTCTTTATCTCAGGTCAATTGACTTGTCACAGTGGGAAGGAGATTTGAAAAGGAAATTGCAAGTTCTTTGCAAGTATGATTGGAGGAATTGAGTTAATAGCCAGCAATCAGTATAGGTTTGGTAGGGTACTTAAAAATTTAAATGTATGTATACACCACAACTACAGAATGCCTGAGCTTTGTCTTGTTTGTAAAAAACAAATGGAACAACAGGCAATTTAAATCTCAAACAGAAATGGTAATTTTTACTTAGATTGCTGGGGTTTAAGTGTTCTTGCATTAAAAATTTCCCTCATTTCAGCATACGATTGAGGTATATAAATTGTATGTGCCTCTGATCTTGTTTTACGCTAGTAATCCTCCCAGTACCAACAGGCTCCTATATAGTACGTGCTTTCAGATGATATGGTTTCTCACCATATGGAAAGATGTTTTGTATCACCATGTTGGCAGCATATAAATGATTTTTGAAATCCATTTTTCATTGCCATTTCTTCAACCCATTTAGGCTCAATAGCTTATTATTTACCATGTCAAAAAATGAAAGAAGGATAGTTTTCTGATCTGAGAAGCTGCTTTATCCATACTGTATTCAGCAAGCTCCAGATACAAATGAGTATGACAACACCTCTAATGAGAAAACAGCTTCATCTGAGAGCACAGGATAAGCCACCATCTCTCTCTAAAGAAACGTGACTATATCCCAAAAACCTTCTTATCCTTTCTAATACAATGCATGACTCTTCTGCAGATTCTTTTCAACAGAATTACAAAAGAAGGTCTCACCTAGACTACTAGTACTTCCTCCTTCCAACCAAAGAAGGCAGATATTATAGGTTGCAGAAATTTGTAAGTGGATAAAAGGGAAGAAAATTATAGGACACTGACAAATATAATGAATTTCATTTCCGCAAGCTTCTAATTCCTCTGAGGAAGAGAAGAACATAGGTTTTGCATGGTCCTCTTTAACAAACAAATGCATACCCTGCAATGAAGTAGTATGAGACTAGAGGATGCAATCCCAAGCTAAATGCAAACTAGCCTTGCCTCTGAGGCAAGGAAAGGACAGATCCTAGAAAGTACAGCATGGCTGGATGCCCGCATGCTAAAGAGACTAGTAATTTTAGATTAGCCGATTTTTGCATTGTTTGAAAAACTCTTTATACTTACTGTAATTCTCTCATCTTTGTCATCTAGTGGGGTCCCATCTTTTTTCCACGATATAGTGGGTTCCGGGTGACCTCTTGGGGGCTGACATTCCATCACTGCAGGTTCACCCACAGCTACCATTACATCTGATGGATTCTGTCTGAAGTCGTCCCGTAGAACTGAAAGAATAAAGAAAATGAAGTAAAAATTACCCAACAGTACACCAATAGCACAGCAAAGTGTTTTGTTTTGGCCTTTAATGGTCCCTGTTGTTATTGTACTTTACAATAATGAACAATTCAGTTAATGAATTTCATTTGGCATCTGCAGATGGTCTCTGCTACTTCCACACAGTAATAGAGAAAACCCATGTACAACCCATATTTAACTTCCAACATACAAGCCAAGTGACTTTAACGTAGAGGTGAAAGGCTGACACAGACATACGACTGTCCACACAAAAGAGCTGCCTCACTTGGTTGTATTTGGCATAGCGTCTGCATAGCATATGAGCGCAGGATTCCTGTCACGGCTGAAGAAGGCACAATGTCTTCTGCTCAGGTAGAACGTCACTTGGAGAGAAGCATGGCAGAGATTGCCTTCTGCCCCTCTTTCTGAGACACAAGGTCAGCCTGCCAATAACTCGAAGGTTTTTGGTTAAAGATTGGCCACTGGCCATATGAAATGCACCTATCTCTGAATTTATGGCAAAGATGAACAAACTAGCTAAACTTCCCAGTTCTTTGATGACATTATAAGACACCAAACATTTGTGCAGCTTTAGCCAAACTCATCTTTGCAATTTGGCTTGCGTCTTTTTCAAGGGAAAAAAAAAAAAAAATTCCTGATCTCTGGGAGTCATCCCTTAGCCTGAGCCAGGACCACATCCTTCATTTGGAAGAAGTCAATTTTACTACCTTTTCACAGAAGGAAACATTTTTATTGTGGCTTCATTACTAGAATTTGTTCTTTCTCATCATTTGGCCAAGCCCAGGCCTAGGAAACTCTAGTTCCCTCCAATTACCCACTATGAATTTTATCAATAGCTGTGTGATTATTTTTCTTTTTGGGAGAGGAGAGACATCATACTGCGCTCAGCAGACCACTAGACAGGGACACAGTTTAACAGAATAATGGCATTCCTAAGTCTTGCCAAGTAAGTGGCATTAGGTTTAATCTAAAAATAAATAACCCAAATGATAACAAATATAACACTGTAGTCCTCCCCACTGCTGTTACACCATCCACACTGAACAAAGGATATGGTAATGGAAAAGTACATTACAACCAAAAGACTCTTAGGATTTTGACGAAGCTACCTGTCACTCTTGCTACCCGCAACAAGCTTGTGTCAACAGTAAATAGTGCCAAGAATCTGCAGCAAAAAATATATCTCCCAAGCCATGGACCACAGATATATGGACATTCACTACTGAATAATGGTTTGGTTGTTAATGCTGCTTCAAAGCATGGTGTGATTTATTGTTAGACATTAAGGAATGTGGGTGTGCTTACAGATTGGCAGGTACAGCATTGCCACCAAAACACTCCGCTCTGTAAGGTCTTTCATGCTGTTAAGACCTTTTAAAATGGTCTGAGGGCAAATAGGTCATCTACTTTGGGAAGGAGCGATATGCCTTTCTCACACCTGCTTTCTGCAATGCTATATAATCTAAAATTAAGGGAGGGAGCAAAAATGACTTGTAGTTCTTTGTTTTGGAGGATTATTGGCAAATAGTGCTATTAATAATCAGTAGGACTAGCTTCTACTTTTTCTTCTCAAGTACATCTACCTTACATTCTGATATCCTACATTCAGTAGCTACAGTCACAGGCCTATGTGTCCAGCTTGGCTCATTATAACGTGATACACAACAGGGAAAGTTCCAGATTGATATAGAAATGTAGATGGGAATGAAAAGCAATAAATGTAGAATATTTTATCACTGTGATAGAAACAGGATATAATTTCTGGAAGTACCAAAGAACATCTGTGTACCAACAAGACTGAAGTATATTGCAGACCTCACCAGACATCATCTGAATTTACCAATCCCCTTCCATACTGAAGCACTAACATTTCAAATATTTCAGTTTAATTATTGAGGTTTCTGAATGCCCTGGGGTCAGGAGATACTGATACACTGAAAGAGGATAATCAAGGATAAAATGTCTCTACTCCTTTAACAGTACAAACTAATACAACAGAATGATAGGACTTAATGAAGAAATTATAGAATCATATAGGTTGGAAGGGACCTCTGGAGGTCATCTAGTCTACAACGAGATGCTGTTGGATGAACATGTTCTCTTGGATGAACTAGGTCTCTTGAACAGACCTAGTCTAGAAAGTTTATTTAAAAAAAAAAACAACAAAAAACTGCGCAGCTATCGCTTAGTGTACAAAAACCTGAGAAAGCACACTCCATCTAAGAACAAGGAATTTCTCTCTCTAAAAAGCAAAACACATGGATATTTTCCTTCTATGGACTAGGGAAAATCACAATGTTTTCAGCTATAAAGTTAATCCAGGTTACATCTAGAGGAAATAATATGTTTTCAGAAAGCAGAATGGTATCATTTTTAGTTATTCAGAAAGGTAAGTCAAAAGACCAATCCTTTAGCTTCCCTCCTGCTTTCAACAGAATTTTATTAAGTTTAACCTGCATTCTCCTACATCTTCCTTACTATATTCCCCTAAATATTGATGCATCAAAATTGGATACATCAAATTATTTTGGTTATGGGAGTGTTAAAATACTACTCACATATACTGAAAACCTTATATATACTTAGTCCTTTTATACTGAATATGGCCTTAATAACCAGATGCAACTTCTTGTGTTCCCAAGTAGCCCTCAAGCCATCCAGATACAGTAAATGATGCAGCATAAGTGGCTGGGCTGACACTGCTTCTGCTGAAGTCAAAGAATTTTTTCTATTTATTTTAATAGAGACTTGATCTGGCTTGGAGCCACTGGTCATATTATTACTTCTTTTTTTCACTTCTCCAAACTAAAGAACATAAAAGAAGAAGAAACAGAAGTTGCACCAAGTGACTAAAAAACCCCCTTACCTCCAGTTCCCAGTGCCAACAGCACATGAAAGTGCAGAAGAGTTTATTTGCTACACCACAGTTCTATTGCAACACAATAAAAGGGGTGTTTTGACCATGAGTAAGAAGCCTTTTATTACTGCTGAAGATTCTATCACTTGGATAAAGCTAGGAGATCTATAAAAAGAAGTGCCCTTAAGTTTAAAAAAAAAAAAAAAATCAAGTGAAGTGATCTTAATAAACCATAAGTGCTTTTCAAGTCTGAAAGACCTCATAAATCTAAGAGGAAAGCCTATCAGATAGCACCTCTGATGGCTTTTAGCACCTTTGAAGCAACAAAGAAGTCCAGTGCTTGCATAATAAAACCAAATTACTTCAGTAATTTCTATACTCCTTAGTCTCAGATCAGCTTTACAAGCGTAGTACTTTGCCCATAAACTAAGACTTTTCACAATTAACTAATGCATAATAGAATGCCTTAGGAGGACATCAGGCCATAGATACATAAAAACAAGTATTTTTTTTTTACTATGAATTATTTTGGCTCTAACATTACATAATGAAATGCTAACAAAATGTAATCCATTAAAGACTATTCCACAGATAGTCGTCATGTAATTATCTTTGCAGCTGTAAAGATAGTAGAAGCTCTGTTTTTTTGCCTCAGGCCCTGGCAATCTTGCATAAAGGTATAAATTTAAAATTTTCTTCCCTTACTGAAGAAAAATAATTTTTTTCTTTTCTGTCTTTCCTAGTCAAGGCTCACTGTAAATTGAGAATACATTTCCTTTTGAAGATATATTAGAAGTATACTTTGTAATCCAGTACAGCATGTGCTTTCAGCCACCCAAGGGTCAAATTTATATATATATGCAGCTGGAATTAAAATAGATAAATTAAGAGGATGCTTGCCTTTTTTTCTTTTTTTTAACAAATTCAGTGTAGAATCTTCACAGATATAAAAAACCCTATATTTCTGACATACTGTGGGTAAGGTTTTCTAACAGTTTAATATTTTCTAAAATACAACAAATAATGTATGTAATTATTGTCATTGCACAGCTAGGACAACTCCATGATCTTGCTGTGTGAACTCTGAACTCCTGTGTTTGTGCTGAAAACATTTTTATGCTTGCTGAACTAATCAGGTTCAAGAGCAACTTTTGTAACTCCACTTTAAAAGTCAACTACTCATACAACTATTTAAAATCATGTACTATTCAATCAATAAAGCAATTACACTTTCCCCAGAGAATCTTTCCCAGATTCTAGAAAGGAACTAGCAATCACTTGACGATAAATATTTATTGACAAGCAACATAAGTAGAGATGGTATTTTTTGTGTAAATCCTAAACAATGCTTTTCAAAATGCAGCACCCTGTGTTTTTTTCTAAAGTTCTTCACTGGCTACTGTGAAAAAGAGTAGGGTGAAATGGGAGGTAGGTAGACAGGGGTTTTTTGCATATACACACTGCAGATATTTAAGAAAGATTATTGTTAAGAGTTTATCATTAAATAACTGTGATCTAGTTCAAAGACAATAAAGAAAACCAAAGCAAAACACAAGAAAAAAGAAACGGACCAGAAAGCTTTAGTCAATAAGTGAAAAGAATGAATTTGTAAGGAACACACTAATTAACATCATACATTGTGGATATCATGGCTTAACAGGTGGTATCATTTAAGAACTGGAAATAACAAAATCTCCTGGAAATTTTGATTACAGATCTATTCTAGTCAGACTGGCTAGACACTCTATGCTAGATCAGTTCAAAGCAGTGCACCAAAATATATCCAGGATCCCTAATCAACCAAGATATTACAGCCATGGTCACCTGGTGAACTGAGGAAGAGAGGGAAATGGAGAAGTCTGGGGTGCAGTTTCATAATCAGATAAAGGCAATCTGAATCCATTCTGATTCTTCTAAAAGAGACCATCCAGACTTGCTTCCTGCTAACTCTCCTTCATTGCCCTTGGACAAAGCACACTGTTTTGCAAGGCTAGTTGTTGGAGAGAGATCAGTGAGCCAAAGTGTCACACAATTAGACAGCTGAAGAGATCCCAACAATTTCCACTCTTTCAGCATGAAGATAATTTAAATGTTTCTTTGTATTGTAGCACG